CTATTCAATATAATTTTATTATAAAACAAGTAGGCAAAAAAAAAGAAACAACATTCTTCAGACTATATTTTAAGCATAGACTTTATTCTTTAAAAAACCCAAAACTTTTCGGGGGTACCTGCTCCTCTCTTCATAGTTACAATTGAAGTGATTCAGAACAGCATGATGATGATGATGATGAAAATGATAATATATAAGGTACACCTCCCAGCAACGTTTTTAGCTTCATGCATTAGCAAAACACTTTCTAAAAACATAATTATGTCAATGTACAGAAAATTTACCCCATCCACAAAAAACATAAAATCTTAGGTAATATCAGATCTGGAATGTGATGTGAGACATTTACAAGGTAACCCCTCCTCTAGCCATATTCCCAAGTAGTCTGAGGCTCGGTTATAATACAATTGCTCATCCTACCTTCGCGACAGTCGCCGAAAGTTGTCAGGAGGGTTGAAGCTGGTTCAACTTTGCCGATTGTGTTGCAAACGATTCGGGGTGCCTTCCCCGATTGCGCTGGGGAAACTAGCAATGCCCCCTGATTCTTAGGGTGAGCGACTGTATGGAAACCAAGCTTTGCAGTTCACCCATTCATTAATTACAAACATAAAACTAACAACAGTTAACAACACATCAACTAACATAATTCTGAGGTAATCTAGAAGGAAATGTTATTGCCCGCAGACACAATCTCTATAATTCTTTAAATTTTTTTTGTAGAATTAACAATTAGATAAATTAACAATTAGAAGGTTCACTCTTAATAACCCTCTGCCTGGCGAAAAGCAGTTTCTTCTTAAAATGCTTATCATAGAAATTAGTTCATGGGATTGAAATTATTAATGTACTAAGCTCCCCTCCTTCTCCATTCTTTTCGTTTCTCTTTTTCCCTTTTTTATGGTGAGTGGGAGAGGCTATCCGCCGTGGCACAACCCACCCTTGATTTGTTTCTCAGTTACAGATAATAATGTTGCTCCTCTGCTAAATCGCGGTTGACTATCCAGTGGCATTTTATATGATCCTGAAAGATAGGAAATCAGATGCATTAACATTGATATTTAAACAGGATAGATATTTACATTAAGTGATGGTTACCAAGATGCCTCAAATATTGTGAATATTATGTGGACCAATGATTTACTAAGTATTCATGTGGTAATTTGTTTATAACTGTAATTTGCATTTCCGTATATAGGCTTGCTGCAGTATATAAAGCATTGTTTTGACAGAGTTGATGATAAAGATAGATATTGATGAAAATGTTGACATGATGCTTACAGTAAACAAAAAAAAATCAACGATATATCAAGGTTATGTTTTAATATTTATGTTATATTTTATGATGGCCTTTTGATAATGATGATGATAATAGTGACAATGGGGATATTGATTGTGATGATGATGGCATGGAGAGATGAGCTTAGGTCAGTCGGCTAATCTGGTGGTAGCCACTGTATTTGCACTGAACCGTGGCGATCTCTAGGTCTGGTTCAATTCCCATAGCTGCCTCTCCTTGTGTTTCAGCTAGAGGGTTGAAATACAACTTACAATCCGTCTTTTTGGATGAGACGTTTAAGACGTTGTGCCCATGTGCACGTTAAAGAACGCAGTACATTTTTCGGAAAAGAGTAGGGGATTGTCTCCCAGTGTACTCTCCAATCACCACCCATAAGGACTCCACTGGAAATAAGTCTTCTTCTAGACTTTCGTGGGCTATCCTTGGTGTTTACACCGAATAAATCCAATCCAATCCAATTATGATAAGGATGATGATGATGATGATGATGATGATGATGATGATGATGGTGATGATGATGGCATTATGATAATGATGGTGATAATGATGATGATGATGATAATTATGATGATGATGTCTTAATGATAATGATGATGATGACGATGATGATGATGATGATGATGATGATAATGATGGTGATGACAATGGTGAGAGGGTAAAAAAGAAAAATATATTCCATATTTGTTTTATTGTACAATTGCTGATATTTAGCAGCATTTTTGAATAAATTAAATAATGTTAACCTTGTGAAAAAAAAGATCTTTCCTTAGTGATGAGAATAATCATGGCCTAACAGGACTTGGACCCATGATCCATATATATATATATATATATATATAAAAATGTTATACTTACTTCTTGGCTTGTTCTTGCAGAAGATAATATTCTAGTATTTATGTTATAATTTATGATGGCCTAGTGTTAATAATGATGCTGATGATGATAATAATGGTGATGCTTATTGCTTTATGATAATTATGATGAAGATTATAATGATAATGATGATGAAGATGATAATGATGATGTCTTTACGATGATGGTGATGATGATGAAGGGTTTCTTAGAATGTTGACTGAATTGAGGGGTACTCTTGACACAACTGAAATAATTTGAACCTTAATAGACCATTTTAATAAGTGAGGGAGTAGCGATCTTTCTTAGTGGTTACACTGATTTGATGTGCTGTCACAGGACTTGAACCCTTGCCCTTTGATTGGGAGGCAAGCATTTTAACCATGTGCACCTCCATTATTTATCTTACCTTATATATCACCTTAGATTATTTCAGATTCAAGATACGTAGTCCATTTCCTTTATAAATATGAATAGAAATAATAATAAATTATATTTATTATTACAACATAACACAATTAAATATAAACTTACTAGTAAACATTATTTATCCTATAATTTATGATGGCATAATGAAAATGATGATGACGATGATGATGCTGATGATGATAACATTCTGATAATGATGATAATGATGTCTTTATGATCATGACGAAGGGTTTTCTAGAATGTTGACTGATTTGAGGTTTACTCTGACACAACTGAAATAATGTGAACCTTAATAGACCATTTTAATAAGTGAGGGAGTAGCGATCTTTCTTAGTGGTTACACTGATTTGATGTGCTGTCACAGGACTTGAACCCTTGCCCTGGGATTGGGAGGTAAGCATTTTAACCAAGTGCACCCCAATTACTTATCTTACCTTATGTATCTTCTTAGTTTATTTCAGACTCAAGATCCATAATGCAGTCCCTTTATAAATATGAATAGAAATAATAATGAATTATATTTATTATTACAACATAACACAATTAAATATAAACTAACTAGTAAACATAATATTTATTTTGTAATTTATGATGACCTAGTGAAAATAATGATAATGATGCTGATTATGGCATTCCGATAATGACGTTAATGATGACGATGATATCTTTATGATGATGGTGATGATAATGATGAAGGATTTCCTAGACTGATTTCAGGGGTGCTCTGAAATAATTAAAATAATATAAACCTTAATAAACTATATTACATGAGTGAGAGAGCGGAGATCTTTTTATATGGTTTATCCAAATACGTGAATTTTTCTCACGAAATAGATAAAAAAAATGCCAGAAATAGAATGTAAATTTACAGTATTTTCTTTTATGATGATTAAATTTTAGAATGATATAAATAATAATTACAAATATAAAACTAACAACACATTAACTAACATAATTGTGAGGAAATCTAGAAGGAAATTTTTCGCCCCCAGACACAATCTCTATAATTCTGAGTTTTGGGCCCGATGGATAAATTAACAATTAGAAGGTTCAGTCTTAAAAACAAACCAGAACATATGCAAAAATTGTTTCTGCAGATTTACAGCCATATATAGGCTTACAGACCACCCCAACAAAAAACAAATCCCTCTGCCTCGCGAAAAGCTGTTTCTGTTTAAAAAACTTATCATAGAAATTGGTTCATGGGATTTAAACCATTAAAGTACTGTCCTCCCCTCTTTCTCTATTCTTTTTGTTTCTCCTTTCCCCCCTTTTTTTATGGTGGGTGGGGGAGGCTAGCCGCCGTGGCACAACCCAAATCTTGATTTGTTCCTCAGTTACAGATAATAATGTTGTTCCTCTTCTACATAACGGTTGGCTATCCAGTGGCATCTTATGTGAACCTGAAATATAGGAAATCAAATGCATTAACATTGATATTTAAACAGGATGGATATTTACATTTAGTGATGATTACGAAGATGCCACAAATATTGTTGCATACCTCAGTTCCTAAATATAATGTGGAGCAATGATTTACTAAATATTCATGTGGTAATTTGTTTATAATTGTAATTTGCATTCGACAAAGTTGATGTTAAAGATAAATGATATTGATTAAAAAAATGTTGACATGTTGCTTAAAAAAAAAATCAAACGATATATCAAGGTTATGTTTTAATATTTATGTTATATTTTATGATGGCTTAGTGATAATGATGATATTTAGGAGTCTTTTAAATAAGTTAAATAATGTGAACCTTTATAAATAAAGATAAATGAGCTTCATCAAAATGTACTTAAGTGTTGACTTTTTTTGCAGTAAAAAAAAAAAAACTATATATCAAGGTAATAATTTAGTATTTACGTTATAATTTATAATGACCTAGTGATGATGATGATGATGATGATGATGATGATGATGATGATGATGATGATGATGATGATGCTGATGATAATAGCGACGACAGTGATGATGATTGTGATGATAATGGCATTATGATAATGATGATTATGATGATGATGATGATGATGATAATGATGATGATGACAATGATAAAGGGTATCCTAGAATGTTGACTGATATCAACGGTACTCTGAAATAATTGAAATAATGTGAACCTTTATAAACTACGTTAGGGAGAGAGCGAAGATCTTTTCTTTGTGGTGACAACAAATGATGAGCCCAGTTCCCTTGGATTTTTTTAAATTTCTTTTATTTTAACAATATTTAAAGAGGGTGACCCTTCCAACTTATTCAAGACAGTTGGCTAATATTCAATGGATCCACTTAAATAAATAAATAATGTGAACCTTTATAAACTACATTACAACAGCGAGATAGTACAATTCATTTCTTAGCGATGAGAATAAATCAAGGCTGTCCCAATACATGGACCCAGGGCCCTTTGATTGAGAGGGAAGCAAGCATCAATGTTCCATCTCATCAACTGTATTACAGATTTATAGAAAGCATTGTTTCCATGATAAAAGGAAGTAACTGAACACTTTTCAAAAACCATATTTTGTTGTCAATATCATAGAATTACTAATTTTGAACAATATGCTCAAATCCGATACTAACATGTAATTAGCCAAACAAATGGGAAGTAATTTATTTATTCTGCTATAAATCATAATTACAACGAGCAGCTATACAACCGAAATCGTTGTAATTAAAAAATCAGTAAATTACAAAATCAGTGCATTCAATACAAAAATATTCTATTAAAAAATTATATAAAAATAGTATATATTACATTAGGACAAAATACAAAAATCTATTAAAAAAAATCAGTTTATATTATTTTTAATTTACAGAATCAAAGCTCAAGTAAGCGACCTGTATAAACAAGTGTAAAACTACAGTAAAATCCACCAGAAAAGAGGACAAGCTAACTAATCAATAGCCGCTGTTTATGCAAGAGTGGTTACATGCACAAAATGTATAATATGATAATAGGGCCTATAACCTTTGTGTACAGTTTGCAGTTCTAAGTTGCATTTTGCAGTTTTAAATCAATTTCCTTTTCTATATGTATTTTACTTTTGTATGTTTCTTGGATGCCCCATAAATTTTGTATAAATTCCACTGTAACAAAAGTGGATCAAATAAATTGAAAGTAGAGAATAAGAACTGGCTAATACAAATGTTTATTCCTTAATTACTCAAAACAATGCAATTGCCAGTGCTTCATGGTGGGGCAGATTTGCGTTTGCATGAAAACACTAACACTACAGTAAAACTTATATACTTATTTATCTTTATTTTAACAACACATGAAAGGGTGGCTCTTCCAGCTTATTCTTGAATGTTGACTGATATTTAGGAGCCCTCTTCATTAAAAGAAATAATGTGAACCTTTGTACAAGGGAGTAGTGATGATTTCTTAGTGGTGACAATAAAACCTGTGCTGTTGCGCAGTACTTTATCCCAGGACCCTTGGTTTGGGAGATAAGCATCCTAACTATCAGGTTCATCGCTATAACTTATCTGATTGTATTATAGCTTATTATCTTACCTTATATATATCAATGTTTCACCTTAGTTCATTTTAGACACCATAGTCCTGTACCTTTTGGAATATGATTAGAAATAATAATCAATTATATTCATTATTACAACGTAACACACATTATAACTTACTAGTAAACCAAATATTTATTCTATTCAAAAAAAAAAAGATAATAAATAAGATAATACCCTATATAAAGTATTGATTGTGTTTGCATGAAAACGGAATCTATTGTATTATGTTATAGTATTGTACAATAGGGGCAAAGCAAATACCTATTTATCGTTACCTTTACCAATATTAAAAGGGTACTAGAATGTTTGCTGATATTCAGGAATACTCATAAATAAATAAAATAATGTGAACCTTTATAAACTACATTACAAGAGTGGTGATGTAGAGATATTTTTGTAGCATTAATTAAAGCCAGTGCTCTCACAGGGCTAAAATCCACGACACTTGATTTGGAGGGCAAGCTTAACCATCTTGCACACCTCTATAATTTATCTGATCGTATTTTAGGTAATTTTCTCACATTATAATGTATCAGTGTTTCACCTTAATTTATTTTAGACACAGAAGATTGCAGTATCTACAAAGCATTTGTGTTTGCATGAAAACGAAATTCTCTGTCTGTTTAATTGTTCAATTATATACATTATATATACATATATATACATACACACACACACACACACACACACACACATATATATATATATATATATATATATATATTACAAAACTTACATCAGTATTTATACACAGCATGTCTTAGATTATTGGCTGATATTTAGGAGTTATATAAATGAAAAAATATGAACCTTTATAAACTTCATTTCAAGAGTGGTGAAGTATCCCAAAAAATATTGGGATAGGGAGGTAAGCATCTTAACCACCATCACACCTCCATCATTTAAATGATTGTATTTAATCTTATTGCATCTTATCTTGCATGTACCTATGATTCATCTTATCAACTGAATTGGAGTTTTATACAAAGCATTTGTTTTTTTTTCCTGAAACGAAGTTTAGTCTGCATTATCTAGTATTCAATTAATAAACCTTATATATTTACTTATCTTTATTTTAACAATATTTAAAGAGGGAAACCCTTCCAGCTTATCCTAGAATGTTGGCTGATATGTATGATTTATAACAACACACTGATTCACAAGAACATCCAAGCTTAGCTAGCCTGCCTAGTAAACCTAGCAGAGGTTTGAAACCTCTGCAAGGATTGTATATAGATTATCGGTCAATGGATCGTACAGTATCACTTTTAATTATTTATATAATGTGTTTTTGAGAATTATGTATGTATAGCCATGTAAGACTTTGTCTTTTACTTGGTAGCTTTGTTCATCATTTCATTTTTTTTGGTAGAGTTATCATAATATATGTATGATGTAATAATGATTGACCTATGAATTTATCATTGGTTAAAAAAACCCTAAAGAAATGAAATATCTAATTAAAAAATTTAAACATTATTAATATATATTTTTGTATAGGAATTATATATGATTAACTTATTTTAGTAATATTATTATTTATGATTGAAATGAATTGCGTGGTTAAAATATGTAATTATATTACACAACACGCCATTTTCTTCCGACACCAGTTCAAGTCAAGAGTACAAAGAGTTCGGATTCTTTTGTATGTATCTATCTTTTTATGCTAATTTTGTATTTATTCATTTAAAGATGTGAATATCTAGATATTGGTTCAAGTTTTAAATAATACCTATATATATAATTCGAATATTATGCTGTTTTTAACTATATTAAAAATTTAGGCGAGGTCCGCGGTAGGCCTATCAATAATATGATCTCTAGCAGGTGAGTAGCTAGCTGGTATCGTTCTCCAATGCCATCCATTCGACAATGATTCATTGAGCACTTAAAATAATTTCGCGATTTGTCAGTTTATCTTTAAAAATGAGTGAAAATCATGTTTTTAAATATTTATCATCAGGGTGGTACATCATATAAATTGGCATGAAATACTCTTAACAAATTACAATGGAAAATTAATTAATATGACTCCCTTAAAATGTAAACTCAATCTGAAGTTATATTAGGAGCATGTGCACCAATAAACTTAACCAGCAAGCACCACCATTCTTTCAAATAGTTTAGTAGGCCTACAATTTATTAATAAATCGCTTACTTTATTTACTGATTTATTTATTCTTTCTTTATACTGAATGACACTTTCAGACTCAGACTCAGATTCATTTTATTTAACCAAAACAAGTTAGAAATAGCAAAAATCACATTGTATGTATTATTAATGATAAGTTAGGAGACTATTATTAAGACCAAAAATAGGCCGCTGTCATGAGAGCCACCCCAAAATACAATATTGATAAATTTATTACAGTATATATATATATATATATATATATATATATATACTGTACGTATATTTATATAATATATATAAACGTATATTTTTTATTTTATTTTATTTTAGCTTATTATCTTACCTTATATGTATCAATTTTTCATCTTAGTTCATTTCAGACACAAAGTCCATAGCCCAGTCCCTTACTAGTAAGCATTATATTTATTCCATTCAATAAAAATTTGATAATATTCTATATAATGCATATGTGTTTGCATGAAAACGAAATTTATAGTTTGTATTATTGTACAATAAAGCCTATACTTGTTTATCTTTATTTTAACAATATTTAAAGAGGGTAACGCTTACCCTAGAATGTTGTGTGATATTTAGGAGCCCTCTTGAATAAATGAAGTAATGTAAATCTTCATAAACTGCATTACAAGAGTGAGGAAGCAGATATTTTTTTTAGTAGTGGGAATAAAGCCAGTGCTGTCACTTGACTTGGACCCAGGACACTTGGATTGGAGGGCAAGCATCCTAACCATCTTGCACACCTCTATAATTTATCTGATTGTATTTTAGGTTATTATTCCACACTATTATTATAGGCCTATCAATGTTTCACCTTAGTTTATTTTGGACACATAGTAGAAAGTCCCTTTTAGACTAAGAATAGAAATAATAGTAAATTATATATATTATTACAACATAACACATTTAAATAATAACTTATTAGAAAGAATTATATTTATTCTATTAAATAACAAATTGATTATAAACTATATAGCTTGTCTTAAGATGTTGGCTAATATTTAAATCCTGTGCTGTCACATGACTTAGACCCAAGATACTAGGATTTCAAGGCAATTATCTTAACTACCAAGTACAACTCCATATTTTATCTGATTGTATTTTAGCTCATTATCTTAGCCTATATGCATCAATGTTTAACCTTAGTTCATAGCAGATATTTTTTTTTTAGTAGTGGGAATAAAGCCAGTGCTGTCACTTGACTTGGACCCAGGACACTTGCATTGGAGGGCAAGCATCCTAACCATCTTGCACACCTCTATAATTTATCTGATTGTATTTTAGGTTATTATTCCACACTATAATATAGGCCTATCAATGTTTCACCTTAGTTTATTTTGGACACATAGTAGAAAGTCCCTTTTAGACTAAGAATAGAAATAATAGTAAATTATATATATTATTACAACATAACACATTTAAATAATAACTTATTAGAAAGAATTATATTTATTCTATTAAATAACAAATTGATTATAAACTATATAGCTTGTCTTAAGATGTTGGCTAATATTTAAATCCTGCGCTGTCACAAGACTTAGACCCAAGATACTAGGATTTCAAGGCAATTATCTTAACCACCAAGTACACCTCCATATTTTATCTGATTGTATTTTAGCTTATTATCTTACCCTATATGCATCAATGTTTAACCTTAGTTCATTTTAAACACAAAGTCACAAACACAAAGAATATGAATAAACAATAGGCCAAATAATAAATTATATTTATTATTACAACATAACACATTTAAAAAATAACTTACTAGTTTCTTTCTATAAGAAAGAAAGAAAGAAATAGAGATAATTAATTTTTGGGCGTCTAGAAAACAACAAATTCGCTGACCCACTAGTGTTTTGTCTCGATCGGCCTTTAGAGGAACAGCAAAGCTAAGCTAGCTCATTAATAAAGCTAGGCCTAGCACACTGATGTTGGTGTGTACGTCTGTGCGAATTTATATAGATTAACAGATTATGGATCATTTTGTATCGCTTTTATAATTATTTATATAATGTTTTGTGGAGGATGTTTAAGCCATGTTAGCTGTGGTCTTTTCTTAGATTTCCGAGCGTCAAATTCAATGTAATCACAAAAGTGAAAATGATTCTCTACCCTGTTCTGATTTATGCAGTACAAATAGTATTTGAACAAAAAATCTAGAAAACATATCTTGTTGGTGTGTTCCTGCAGATTTCATAGCATTAATTTTTATTGTTTTATAATTTTAATGATTTTATTATCTTTGTTTTTATACAGGTTTATAACCGTGATCTTAAATCTGTAATTTTTTAAACATAAGTAAGTTTACTAGGACACATTCTTTTAAGAACTCACTTTTTAACAATTTTCCTCGTTTATTGCATCAATCTTCACTGAAATAAAAGTGCTTATTCTAGATAGTTTAAATTGTTTTAAAAATCCATTTTACAATTTGATATGTTCTCTGTAAATTGTTTACTGGCATTTTATATTAATGTTAATTTTAGTTCCAATATATAGTTTATTTCTGATCTGTTTGAATCTCATATATTTGTTGTTTGCCGCCATAAAAGGATTGAAACATATTATCATACATAATTCTGGATTTATACCTTTGATTTTGTCATAATGGTGTTAATTTAAAGAATGGAGAATTTGGCATCTTACCCAGTTAGAATAATGGGCTATATACAATCTAAACCTGGATATCATCTTTCAATTTAGGATATTTTTAGGTGTGTCTTAGTTCAAAAATAACTGTAGGGAGTGTGTGGAGTCTTAAATGTTCATGTTTTTATGAATGGTTCCTACAGTTGAACAGCTTATAAATCGTCAAATTCAAACTTCCAACAAAAGCCCAGTTGGTTAAGCCGTCTGCATAGACAGCAGAAGGTTAAG